CGGCTGGCGCTGCCGCACCCGGGATCACCGCGACAGCCAACTGCCAGAGAATCCGGGTCCTCTGTAAGCTACCTCCACCATCCAACCGGGACCAGCGGACAGGCAGCACGGTCATCACACCACCCCTTCAGAACAGCATACAGCAGAGGCTACAGCAGCTGCTGGCCTCGGCGGAGCGACCCACGATGTCCTCCTCCACCAGGAATAGGACCACCCTCCAAACGATCATCACCAGGCCAACGGCCCCGGAGCCCGTACGTATTCCATTCGCACGATAGCCACTATAGGTTGTGCCACGACCTATAAAGAGGGAAAGACCCATGATCGCACAGGGGCAGAGCGACTACATAGCGGCAGAGCCCGACGACAAAACAACAAAATGAGGAGAGACGACGCATGCGTATGACTGTACCAAGCATGCATAAACAGCGAGGCGAGCCCCATCTCGGCGCCGCCACGTAGACACGCTAAGTTTCGTGTCGGCTAAAGGCGATAACGCTCGGCAGCAATGGATAGCTTAAAAACACGATATGCCGACAAGGCGAGCTGCCGAAGAGAGCGGACATGCCCGAGGAGTCCATTAGGAGGACAAACAGGCGAGACAAGCAGAGCAGGAACAACCTGGGCCTGGAGCCCTAACATCCCCCTTGCTCAGGCTAAACTCCCTGCCGCACAATGATCAACAGCGGCCGCGTGCAGTGGCGGGCTGATGCAGCGGAAGACGCTTGAATATAGCCGGCAGATGCTAAGGCCTACCACGAGCTGCGTGCAAATGCGCGAACGTCAATTCTATGCCGACGCTGGGTAGATCGTCAGCGAACACGATGCGCGAATGTACGATAACTTGGCAGGGCAAAGGTCGTAACTGCGCGGCAAATCTTAGAGCAAATTTGAAATTCTACTAATCGGGTATCGACGTAGAAAAGAAACCTCGTCGCGTTATCAGAGGTTATCCACAATCCCACGTTCCGACGGCAATTGAGGATTACCCGACCCGGTATACGGATTCAGGCCCTTTTCTGTGAGTTCTCTCCAGAAACGATACGAAGTAGCGGGAGGTCAAAAGCTAACGATGCCAGGCAAGTCGAAACTAACGAAACTTTGTAACAAATTTAAATCCTACTAAAATCACGAGACTATAACTGAATCACGAGACTATCACCGACCAACCAGAACAGTGGACCACGATAGACATAACGGTACTTGGCCCACCCGATGAAGATGAACTAATGAAGTCCCATCCGCCCACAGAGCCTAACCACTGAAAACAGCACCAAAAATTAACCTTAAGCATTAAGCATAAGACAGAACTGAAATACAAATAATATTCTCATCGTTCCTCTTCTGTTGCATATTTTGGTGGTAAAAGATCTAGAAGGCTGACTCAATAAGAAGTTATGTCTCGAACCTAGACTACGACGAGCTCCATCTATCACAGCAGGGTCGTTACAAAAGTGCTGAATATGTTGTTATTGATATAGGTATATAATAACGAATCCACGGTAATTTATTTAGAAAAAAAAAATAAAAACTTTATTCAAAAAAATGTACAATCGCGGTAGCGGAGACAATTCACGTCTTAAGTATCGAGCGAACGAATTAAATCTAAATCAGGAGTGTGAGTTGAACGCTTAGCAAACCCTTGGTCGACTTTGTTTATATGAGCTTGAGTGGCTCTCCTCTTTGTTCAAATGGGTTGCGCTCTTTAAGAGAGTTGCGCATGGAAAGTTTGTTTGGTTGCTTAGCAGGAATAACGAATTCGGAATCGGCGGATGTTTCTGTCTATGAATCAATTGTTTATGTTAACGCTGTCGAAATTGTTATTGTCACCAAGAGCTTGGGATCTGACTTATGTGTTAGGGTTGTAAGTTTAAGTGTGTTGCTGGGTAAATGTATCGTTTGATATTGGTGTGATTGAGTGGGTGTGATCAAGTGGTACATATGTACTGTGTGTGTGTGGTGTGTGTGTGTGTGAGTATGTGTAACAAAGTGTTATACTATGGTACATATGCTACTATATATATATATTGATATACAGGGTGCGTTATGAAAGTAATGCGCATGGTTTCATTGTCACGTAACTACCTGTCGTAGCACGCTCGGACCTGTCGGACGCGCTCGGTCTCAGTTCGCTCTGAGCAATAGAAGTGGTAGGACAGGTCCGAGCGTGCTACGACAGGTAGTTACGTGACAATGAAACCATGCGCATTACTTTCATAACGCACCCTGTATGTTGTTACTCCTCTATCTCAGTGTGATGATATTTTGACGCAACGTCTGATCAAAGACACTAGAATAATAAGATGCGTAACGGCCATTCATTGGTTTGGCACTATGCAGCCACTTTTTTGGTGTCGGCAATAATTGCTCTCTCCCCGCTTGCATAAAATTGAGAGTAAAATTGAGAGAATTCACTTGCTTGTGTGAGTGAAAACAGTAAGCAAAAAAGAGTGCATGTGTGCGTAGTTGAGCTAGAAGATCAATTTTGATTTAAGAAACGAATTTCATTATTGTTTTGGTCATTTTCGTTATAATATGATCTAAAAAAATATTTCTAAAAAATTGTTGCCGTGATTATTCTTTTTTTTAAGAAGTTATTTTAATATTCGTTAGTTAAAATCGTCGCTCGGATTAGCTACCGTTTACAACTAAACTTTACATATAAACTTGTATTGAATATAAATACGGATATATTATTAAAATTTTGAAAAAAAAAAGTAGCAAACGATGAGCTCTATCTATTTGTCAGCTTTAAGCAAACGGATTAAGAGGAACTAAAAGAAGAAACCATAAATTTGGCGCCGCTTTTTATCCACCCAAAATTGCGAGGTTTTTAAAAATATCAAATTAGAATATAACAAAAACATTCAACAAAATAATATTTGCATTTTAAATACTGAAAATTGGTCATTTACATAAGTTTGGATTTTTTTTTTTACTTGTGTGCTAATAATTTGTTCTAATAAATAGAAAACTTTATATGCAACCTGTTTATTGCAAAATTGAATTCTTGAGGCAGGACCAGCGCACCTAAGAATCCCTAACTTCAAATACATTTTCCACGTCGCGAGTTGAATACTCTAGCAATATATTATATTTTCTAGTATAAAGTAAACTTTGCAATTAATTAGGTATTATTATGTATTTTTATATTATGATTTAATCAAATAATTATCATGTTGGTGGCAATCGAGTATAAATAATATAGATTGAAAGTTTATAAACTTCTGAAGTGAAGGGCATATTTTGTAAAATTTACAATATATGAACATGCGTGTGCACACATACAGTGATCGGCTGTCGCTGTATGCGTACAAGAGAGCTGCTGGCTCTAGATTCGTTAAAAAGTATGTAACAGTCAGAAAAAAGCGTTTCCGACCATATAAAGAATATATATTCTTGACCAGGATCAATAGCCGAGTCGATCTGGCCATGTCCGTCTGTCCATCCGTATGAAGGTCTCGATCTCATGAACTACTATATAAAAGCTAGAAAATGGAGATTAGGCATGCAGATTCCAGAGACATAGACGCAGTGTTAGTTTGATAAATGAATTTGTATTAATGACTTGTGCGCTGTTAAATGGACCTTAGAGCCCATTCGTTGAAAATAATGACTACTCAAATCGAACTATATATGTATATCCGTCTGTCCGATAAGTTATCTTGATTTCTTGGAAAGCAGTGCAAGTTTGGGTGGCATCAACTTTTATAAAGAAAACAAGCCTAAACAAGAGGGAACGCTAAAGTCGAGCTTCTCGACTATCAGATACTCGTAACTCACTAAGAAATTCCTAAGTTCTTTTGAAATATCGATTGAAAATGACAAGACACATTATGAAATAAAAAAAAAAAATTGCAAAAAATTTCTGAAAGTGTGGAGTGTACAAAATTTGCTTGGAATATAAATAAAAATATGTAAAGCAAAATAAAAAAAAAAAAAAATAATAAAAACACTTTTAAAAAAAAAGAATATCAGTTTGGAGCGGGTCTTTACCGGTAGAGTTAGCCACAACCGTTTCTACCTGTATGTAGGTACTGATACTCTAGAAACACAAATACTTTAACTTTATAAACACAACAACTAGATAACAATAAATATTTGTATTAGTACCAACTTAAGTTAAATAAGTTACCACCAAAATATGTTTTATATATTTTATATATGTTTTATATAATAACACTAAATTTAATGCCTCCCCTATTTATCAGCTTTGAAACCCTTTTTACATGAGGACGCAAAATGTTGAAGGGAACTTTCCTGTGGAGATATTAGCACATCCCCTGAAGGACAACGCTTAGTGAATTTAAATTAGGCTATATTATATGTAAGCTGTGAAACCAAAGAATGCATAGTCACTCCAATTTACTTAGCCAGATAAATTAAACTTATTTTTAAAGAACCATTCCAAATTAGTCCATTGTTGGTTTCAAAAGAAAACCTGAAGTCGTTGTTACAGGGGCGGTAACAGCATTTCATACATTCTAAAAGTACATATAAATACAAGGCAATATAAAATAAATATAATATACATTTTAAAATATAACATTATGAATTATGTTTATGAACTTTCAATCTCTTTTGTTCATTACGCAGAAAATACATATTGTGTAGGCCCCTTCTGTGGGCCTCGAAGTTTAAGATTTTTCTATTACGAATAATTAGTTTTACTTTAAAAGGTTTCTTGCTTTCAGTAAACTCGGTTCACGTCGGTTCATTTCAACAATATTAAATATAGGTTTAAAACAAATTTAAAAATTGATATTTAAAGTAAATACTTAGTATTTTATATTTTCTAAGATAGGATTACCTGATATTTAATTATTAATAGTGAAAACAAAAGATTCCACGGTAAGAAGACTCCTCTGGTAAATGCGCCCTTGAGCAAACCTTATTTGGAGTAGAATTACTTCATTACTAAAAGTTTCTTTGTATAGTATTTAAAGCGGAGAGCGATACTATGTGTATGTATTATATATATAAGATATTGAAGTCTAATAGCTAAAAAGTTTGGGCTCAAGGTACAGGTATTATAATTGTGTGTATGTATACATTTTATAATAATTTGCTTGTTAGGCAGTGCTTAAGTAAGGTCTACAGTAAAGGATATTAAGAATATTATTAACTAAGATAGATCAGTTCGAAATAGCTAAAAAGCACACAGGTTAAAAGTTAAGGTTGCAGTTTCTTTAGAGAATTAATCTACACTTTCTGCTACCAAATTATTAATTTTATAAGAAAGTCATACCAGAAAAAATACGGCTGAGTCGTAGAAGTAAAAATAAATATAACAGAGAACGATATAGTTAATTTCCTCGGCGTTGCATTCTATCGCAAAAAAAAAAACATGGGACTGTTTTGGGCGGTTTGTGTCCAATGTGTTTGGGCATATAATATATATTATGTATGTAGATAGAAATTAGCAAGACAAGTATTAAAACGATTAAAACTCAACAAATTTGTATACCCGTTACCCGTTAGAGTAAAAGGTATTTATTTACTTAAAAAGTATTTATTGCATTAAGAGCGTCAGAATTTTAATGGAACATTATACTCTGTAATGCTCATACATCTCATAGTTAGGTTTACTATGGCTTAAAATACTATGGTTTAAAATACTTCCTATTAAAATTTCTTAGAACAGAAGAGACTAAGTCGACTAACCAAGTCGGGACTATCTGCTTGGCTATAATTAAAATTTTAAATGAATACTGTTTTAAACAATGTTCGTCGGTTGGTAAGGGAAGGTAATTAACATAGTCTATCGCTTATGGTAATGTTAATTTCGCATCCCAATTTAGGCGCCGTACGGCAAACAGTAAAAAGCTTCTTTGAACCGATTCCATGCGATTCGAGTACTTATGAATCCGACGGGCTAGAGAAATTATAAAAGTTTTAGTCCTGTAAGGATGATAAAATTCCTTCGACCACCGTTTTATTAAACCTAGCACACCCCTAACTTAAAAACTAAACATAAAACTAACTAAAAAATTTAAGTTTTGGATCCTGAAGAACACCAAGATCGTCAACCCGTGTTATTCTGTTATTTTCTGTTAGAGTGTAAGTTGCGTTGATTGGGGGGAAACGACAAAAGGCCATAACTTTACACTTGTAATCATTTAAGTTTAGTTATACCGTATTTTAAAGCTGTCTCGATCCAATTGTAAGTCCCAAATGCATGAAATGGCAAGAAATGCAGGCATCAATATTCTAGAAAAATGTGAAAATTTCTCGCTCGCACTTCTACTGGCTGAGTATTGGTACCTGATTGTCGGGGAACTCGACTTTAGCATTCTCTCTTGTTTTTATTGATATTTTCTGATGTATTAAGACAATTCGTATATTAGCGAGACTTATTAGCGAATTCATATTGAAAACGATGTGCTTATAATGCGGGTGCCAACTGAAAGAAAATTTTATATTTTTTGTAACAATCAGAGAAGATATGGCTTTAATCAGTATAGTTTGCTTTAAGTGCAGCTTCCCCACCAATGAATAGCCTTTTCTAACCTGTCCAGAAAAATTTCACGGCTGAAACAACTTTAAAGAAGTGCTTTTTCTTGCTGTGTAAATAATAAGTCGGATGGTGGTAGTTTACTAATATGAAATTTATTGATGATTCTTGGCCTTTCTCCTCACTTTCCACTTCTAGTGGCGTTGCACACTTTCTATAATAATTTTTTTCTATATTCTTTTCTATCTCTCCCACTCCTTCGTTCATACGAGTAGGCAGTATCATAATAACATGTGTTGTGTTAACTAACATTCAAAACACTCAATTAATTCAATTCAGTACGCGAACTTTCAAGAGAGAGGTAATAATACGACTTGTATGGTGGCAGATAATTACCATGGAGTGCGTACGTTAGCTACACGCACGATGTTGCACGATTCCGAGATCTTGCTTATTATACGATCAAGAACGATGACCATGTCGTTGACGGCTAGATTAGTGGGCGGTCGCCCGCCCGGTCGATTTGTGGCCAGGCGTGAGAGCTACCAGGTCGCATTCGTTCAGTTAACATCTTTTATTTTTATTTTATTACTAGTCGATTGTGTCGATTGTCACCAGCAGTGCTCTAAGGGAATTCTTTCTCGCTCTCCGCGAATAAATAGAGTATACAATCTGCCGCAGGAAAACCCTTCCGAAAGGAAATGCTATAGCCCAATTTACGAAATGTGATCAATATTCTTGGGATCAGTTTTTGCCCGAGAAAATGCTTGCACCTACAGCGAAGAAGCAAAGTCCTGAGCGTAATATCTTCAGCTATTAGAATTCTGTGATATTTAATTTTTATATACAAAGTTTAAACTAAAAAGTTTTTAATTTCTATTTGTTACAGATGGCTGGTTGTTCACGAACCCTAATATTATTGGCAATACTTGTAACTGCGTCTGCATTCAAGGTAACATACCAAGCTGAATCTGTAAAAATAATAGCTTTATTTCAAAAACAAGAGAACGCTTTAGTCGAGTTCCTGTTACTTATTCTGTTTCGGCATATCGATAGAAATTGGCAAACAAAATAATACAACTAAAACAAAAATGGGCGTATCAAACAGCATTTCAATAGAAATTTATAAGAAAAATAAAAAACTTACAAATTTTTAAAACATTTTTGAAAAATTTGGGCGTGACAGTTTTAGCTGACTTGTGGGCGTTATAGTGGGTGTGGCAGCATGGGTTACTTGAGCTGCGTTTATGTCTCTGAAATCTACACGCTTAATCTCAACTTTCGACTAACCAAGTCGGGACTATCTGCTTGGCTACAAAAAAGATTTCAAATAAATACTTTTTCAAGCAATGTTCGGCGGTTGGCAAGGGAAGGTAATTAACATTAGTCTATCCCAATTTAGGCGCCGTACGGCAAACAGTAAAAAGGTTTTTTGAACCGATTCCATGCGATTCGAGTACTGCTGAATCCGACAATTGACAATAGACGTAGTATGATCTAAAAATGTAAGTTTTGGCTCCGCAAGAACACCAAGATCGTCAACCCGTGTTATTCTGTTCTTTTCTGTTAGAGTGTAAGCCGCGTTTATTGGGCTGAAACGACAAAAGGCCATAACTTTACACTTGTAATCATCTAAGTTTTTCTCCCCACTTTTCGCGGCGTTACAACCTTTAATACAATTTTTCCTTTTCCTCTTATCCTATCTTCTTTTCTATCTCTCCCACTTCTTCGTTCGTACGAGTAGGCAACATCATTATAACAGGAGTTCTGTTAGCTAACATTCAAATCATTCAAATTAAAATAATTGGGTTTTGACAAAACATACCGGACCCCTTGAACGTATGCGATATACTTTCAAGAGACAGGTAATAATACATTTTGTAGGGTGGGAGATAATTACCATGGCTGTGCGTACATTAGCTACACGCATGATATTGCACGATTCCGAGATGTTGCTTATTATACGATGAGGGAAGATTATCCTCGTGAACTGTGACCATGTCGTTGACAGCTAGAATTGGTGCAATGGTCGTGCAGGTTGTGCGCACTTGGAGATCGTTTATATACTTGTTGTTCCAGCCACTTCAGATGTGATGCGTTGATCTTCTTCCATCGATTCAACTTTTCCGGATTGTCGGCGATGCGATTGTTCTCGGATGCGGCGTTAACCACTCAAAAGTTTATTTGGTGTCTCGAAGTGTGCATTTTTGTAGTCCCTTGTCGCTTTTGACTGCAGCATCCCATATGTCCTCGAAGTGTGGAGCCCCAGTCAGAATAAAGTCCCACTCAGTGGGTCAAAATTCATGGATTGATTTTCCGCATCGGGTAATTAAGTGATGCAATAAATCTATCCGTGGTGAGATCTGATTCCACTTCGACATGTATAGCCTTTGTGGCAAAGCAAACGAAGATTGCTAGGTGGTAGGCCTTAATGGGAGGCTTACCACGGATGTGCAAATAGACGTTGTAAAATCTATTCCGAATCTTGAAAAGGGATAGACACCGAGACAGTGTGATACGGTCCTTGGTTTCCCCAGTAGCTGTTTTCGAGAGTTGGTCTATAGCGACGAAAATGTATGCAGGACTTGCGCAGTCCCTTGCGTTCACTATCCAGAACTGTTGTCAAATTAAATTGTCGAGCGTCATTGGCCCGGTGATTTGGAGATGAAGACGGCGAACTCTGATACAAAGGGATCCTTAGCTGGGAGCAAGGCAGGATGCCTTTCGGTCGACTGGGTAGTCTGCTAGGTAATCGGAAGAGACTAAGATTTTCAGCTTAGTGTGAATCAGATGACCCTTCAGGACCGAAAACATCTCTTGAGCGAAGTGATTTCTTTAAATATTCCAGACGATGCAATGTAGCGCTCGCTGCAATTATGCTGGCGTTGGCGACGGTGATTGAAATGTGTTTACGGCGTCGCTGAACACCCAACGATGAACACCCAAACGCTGATCAGAAGGCAGCGATGATACGAACCAATTTTTTAAATTCCTTCAAGTAGTTGAATACAGGTCGTTTTTACGGCAAAGGCTTCTCTTCCCCAGCTGCACAGTTTCCATGTTACAGTATCCCAGTCACAGTATCAATGTTGATGATATTGGCGTAAAAACTCAGGTTCCTTGATCCATATCGATCGTTCCAACTCGGCGATGGTGCAGTCTCTGGACAGGATATTAGCCGGGCTACAGTAGGTAGGAACATGTCTCCAGTGACAATTTGACGTAGTTTCTTAAATCTCAGCAATTCGGATGCCGAAAAAGGTTGATAATGTGATTCAGTGTTGGCGATTCCAATGTAGAACAATTTGAGATTTGCACCATAGAGGTTGGCTCTCTGCCTGCAAAGATTCTAATGATTTTTTGTTAGAGATTTGCTTACAAATGTGCTCCAAAAATTCTAACTTGGACAGATAAATAGAGAGATACTTTCTTGATGGGAGCAACTGTGGACTTAGATGTTATTATCTATACCTTGGCTAGACCATCTGATCCGAGTTTGCAAGCGTGGACTCAGCATTCATACGCTCTGATGGAGGCGTCACAGAAGATAAATTGGAGACAAATTTGTGGTATTGGTACAGACACCAACGACGTAAGCGACATGCAAGCTATATGAATGCCTTGGGGTACTGACTAATCCCTATGTAATTTTTGTAGCCACAACTCCTTTAGAATGATGATTTTCGCCACGTTGATGATGGGAGTTACTAATCCGAACAGATCGAACAGTAAAGATGCTACGGACAAAATTGTGCGCTTGGTAACGTGGTCTACACTTGGCGACAACGAAAACATGTGTGTGCTAGCCAGTATTTCGTCGTCCAACTGCAAATTTTTGATTGTAGCGTCATCGACAATATTCCAGTGATTTAAATACCAATCAGCTATTCTGTAGAATCGCTTACTTTTGATTCGATTTAGCCCTCTACTGTATCTGCTCCAAAAGGAAGTCATACACATAGAACGACGATTAATGACTGTGAAGTTGCTTATACTGCTGGGCAGTTAGGCTTGAGCACGTAGTGGTGCGGAATATAATAATGCTTGATGTTTAACTGTGGATGACTTACGAGACGAGAAAGGAATCTCTGCCTGGCGATGTCGAATAAGGCTCCCAGAACGATAGGTTCATCCTTAAATGGCAGTCGTAGTTCCAACTGCCCATCTGAGTTGCACCGTACCGTTTTTATATAGAAATCCTAACAATTTTGCTACTCCGGCGTAAGTGTATTCTCGCGAATCTCTACATGATCGATGAGCCATACCCTTTCAATTTGTTTTAGAGAATTTCTTCTATTGTCATAGATAAGTACTGATGAAGTGTTCTGGGATGAGGTAGAAATCGACCAGACACTATCCAAGTATTGTTGTCTGGATCCTTTTCTGGCAGAACCTTTCCAGTTAATTTAACTTGGCTAAGGTATCGAAGAAGGTTTCCATGCCAAAAGGCAAATAGATGCGGAGAGACTTGTAAAAAGATTTTCGACGAGGAAATGTAAATTTCCGATTCTGGGAATTGGGTCACGAACAATTAATGAGCCTTTTGCGTTTGTGTCTCACCAATGCTTCGAAATTGTAGGTTGCTCTTGCTCCGTGACAGTCGAAGCAGTACTCTTACTATTTTGTAGCTTCAAGATACATCCTTGGCCAGGATGGGACAATCAGACTGATGTTCCGTGTAAGTATGTGTGACTGCATCCGAAACTTGCTCGCCTACTCGGGCATTCCGTTATCAACTAACTCCAGGAATGGAAAACTGGATTAAAAAATAACAAATAACATAAGAAACTTCCTGCATAACAGAAAAATAATTTTCTCTCACACTTTGAATTCACTACCCATATCTAACGGAAGCTTGCATGCATCTCTCAAGGATCTCCAATTTCGATCATACATTTTACAAGTTGTCAGACATAATATGTCTACATATAGAAATTACATTTATCGCGTACGCCGAGAACCACTTCTTATAATTGATTTTAACAAAATCTACAACATTAACTTTAGAGTAAACAACATAAATTATAAAGAGAACTAGTACTCATAATCAGGGGCATCCTTATCTCTACATATCTCTACCAAAATTCAAGCACTGTCCCATTTGCAAGGAACACAACTTCACTTGCACCACAGATTGCGATAACATTCAAATCCCAGCTGTAGGGTCTCTGGACTCTTCGGAAAATATATAAACAACAAATATATTTGGAACACCCACATAAATACCAATGCACTACCTACCAGTGCTTAAGCAAAAACCTGAACATAATAAAATGTCTGTCCTGCCTAAAATTCAACTGCATCTCATACAAATTACTTAACGTTGTAAAAGCAATAGTCATAGCTAAAATATCTATTCCTATGAGGACACTCACCCAAAATCATATTAAACAAAATTAAAAACACAATTTTACTCCACTACAATAAATAACTTACACTTCGAAGACAATATTCCCACTACGAAACTGATACAGAACTAATACGATAACTAATAAACAGTCAAAATGCCTAAAAACCGTATTTTCTCCAAAAACACACCAATACAAAAACTCGTGAAACACCGAAAACTCAAATAAAAAATACAACCAATTATAGACAGCACGTTTCAAAATCGATCTAATAATTAACTTAAGCTAACCATAAAACTATATATATTTTTAATTTTTACTACATTTTTATCGAACGGAAACAATTCTAGAGAATCTAGAGAATTCTGCGAATTAATTTACATTTCATCATTTATTTAAATAAACATTAACATTGTAATTATAATGCTTCAGCATGACAAATTTAATATAAAGCAGAGACATATAATATAAAGCGGCGACACGGCCATCCTGACTAGCACACGCCCTATTGTTTTACAAAAGTTTTTCTTTTCGCTTTTATTATATCTTTTATGAGATAGCAGATTATGTAGTAAAAATATAATTAAAAGCAATTTATAAGTAT